ATACGCACGCGTAGGTGAGATTATGCTCTACAACTCTCGTTTAGATTCTGTCGGCTAATTTTGAATTTATTTTTTATTATATTATTTTTAGTAGGCCGGGACAGGAAAACTCCGTTAGAAATCCATAACTCCTTCATCTGACGTCCGTTTTCGTCTGTCTTTCTACCGTTGGACTACTATCGACGAGATATTCAATTCTCGTTTAGATTGTTTTGTTTAGAAATCACTCGATCTCATAATCGAACTTTGGGCTGCATACCGCTAAGTCGAAACTTAGAAAAATCATAACTTCTTCATACGAAGTCAGATTTAGACGTTCTTCTTATGCACGCTCTCGGTTTAACTTATTCTACGACTTTCGTTTAGATTGCTAAGACTGAATATCGCTCCATCGTAAATTCACTATTTACGTCGCGCCGTGTCGTGCCAGTTCTGTTGCGAACTTCGACAGGTCATAACTTCTTCGTTATAACTCGGATTTCGGCATTCTTTATATTTTCGGAAACCTTGCCACGACCACTACAACTTAGTTAAGATTATTCATTATAAATAATATTTTATCAAAAAGTCACTTTTGATGCTTATCGTCTCTAAATTAACTAGCCCGGATCTACGGGCGTTACAGTCTGCCAGAGTGAAACCCTAATTTCGGGGTTTTGCACCCTATTTAAGCATCTTACCCCCCACCTTATGGCCTCATTTCCAGCCTCCAAGTCCCAAACCCTAATCCACGAAACCCTTCAGCTTTTTTGTGAGTGTGTGAGCCATTCTTAAGTAATCTTTGTGTGTTCTTAAAGCTTGAAGAAGAAGAAGATAGAAGGTTCAAGGAGAAGATAGTAGATCCAGAGATTTCCTTCCATCCTCATCATTTTCTGGTAATTAAGTCTCTAACTTGGCTATTAGTTCATTAGATCTCCTTAGTTCCATTTTATGAGGGTTTTGGTTCAAGAATCTTGATCTTTGGGACATGGACGTCCCAAGTGGCTTACCTTTCAGATCTGGGATCTAGAAGGGGTTTCATGGCATAAAGGTGCAAACTTTATGATCATGGAATCCCCATGCAAGCTTAAAGACGTTATTATGGCCTTTTAAGCCCCAAAAAGGCCATGTATGGAAGTAAAGTCTGAGACTTTACGTGTTCATTTGGTGTCTAGGACCTAGATCTCGGTTTTCATGCTTTAGGTTAGAGTAATAAGGCTTTTAGACAAAGATCTATGTCCTAAGGAACTAGGGTTTTAGCTAAACCCACTAAGAAGGATTATTAGCGGGTAAAGTTGGAAAATTTACCCTTATAAGGGCATTTCCAGTGTGTATGTGAAGTATGGACTTTGGATTTAGAGAGTAGAGGCTTAATCTGTTAAGATGGCCCAAACAGATAGAGGAACTCATCGAGTCCATAGGGGAACTCGACGAGTTGAGTCGTGTTGTCCCGTTTCAGCTTAAGGTAGAACTCGACAAGTTGATTCGCCAAATCGCGACTATGAGTAGCCATGGAACTCAGCGAGTCAGGGGGCGACTCGATGAGTTAGATCGCGATTTTAGGGTTCTAGGACTCAGAGAGTTGGGTCAACCCAGAATGTTGACTTTGACCAGGGGTAAAATGGTTATTTTACCCTTAGAAGGTTTCTCAGTTTTTGACTAAGTGTTTATTGTGAAAATTATAACCGGGGAGTCGTTGGAGCGGCCATCAAAGATACCTCACTCAGGATTTCAGCAGCCAACTTGAGAGGTGAGTTTTCCTCCAGTAGGAACGGGTCGAAGGCACCAATGTCGGCATGTTTATGTATGTTAGCGTATGCCGGACTTCGGTCCGATACTGCGGCTAGCCCGATGTAGATTATGTTGGGTTTTAGTATACTACAACATCCTATGGTGCACATACAACCCTAAATACCTTGGATCTATGTTTTCTCTATTATACATGCAAATGGTTTCCAAGGCATTAAACTTATAACTAGCATGCATTTGACATAAACCATATAATATACTAGTTAGGGAAACATACCTTTTATGTGGCTTGAAGTCTTGATGTATTTGGCCTTAAGAGCTTAGCACCAATAGTATGAAATGCCTCAAATGGAATCACAGCACACCTAGGACAAAGGTGGCTCTTGAGAGAGAATTCCATGCACCAAAACACCTCCATATTTCTCTAAGAAAAGAAGTGGTGATTTTGGCTATGGAGTAACCTATTTATATGTAGGATTCCAAGGGTCATGGGTATAACCCATAATCCATACCCATGGGTTTTATGATCCATGGTTCATGTGGCCCAACTCTTTATGTATCCATACATAAACTTGGTCCAACATGGATCATAAGCCCAACACATATAAATATAACTAATTATCATAATTAGTCCCCATAGATTTAATTAGTCTCTTTTGATCACTAAATTAATTCCAAATTAATTCTTGATCGATACTAACTAAAACATATGATTTCATATTAATATATTATAAATTATAATATATTAATAAACCATAAATAACCTTCTCTCAAAAGTCCATCCTAACAAATTGTCCTGATGATATGCAACCCAAATGGACCATGCTACTCTCGGGTCAAGTACATACCAATAATAGTTATGGGCTTAGACATCTAATCCAACAGATTATATGTTTCCGGACTTCAGTCCGATGTCGGGGCAAGCTCTAGGAACGTTTGTATGCTTGATGTCTTTGTGATTCTTGCATGTGTTTGTTTATATGTTCCAGACTTTAGTCTGATGCAGGGGCAAGCCCGAGGAATGTTTAGTTATATGCTATGTGTTATATGTTCCGGATTTCGGTCCGATGTCGGGGCAAGCCCGAAGAAGGATTTAGCTTATATGTTTATGTTATATGCTTGTTCATATGTAAATGTATACCGAACTTCGGTCTGATGCCGGGCCGGGCCCGATGTATTGGGCAAGGCCCAATGTATGGTATTATGTGATTATGTGTATGGTATGTGGTAGTTTGGGGATACTCACTAAGCTTCGTGTTTACAATTTTCAGTTTTGGTTTCAGGTACTTCCGCTAGCAAGGGGAAGAGCTTGGGATGACTGCATGGCACACACCACAGCTTTTAGCCTGGGATGTTTAGACTCTGATATTTTTACACGTGATTGATACAACATTTTTGATACGATGTTTTGAGATACATGATTTGTGATTTTATTATTATGATGTCTGATGAATTATGGTTTTCTTAAATGATTTAAAACGAAATTTTTGGACCGTATTTTTGGGATGTTTCAATATATCCCAAATTTCTCGTTAACCTCATCCCTAAGGAGCCTCACACTAACTTTTTGTTTCTGTAAGAATTGGGTGGTGTAATGGCTACCTATCCAGGCATAGTTCACAATTGAACCTAATTTAAAGTTTCTTGCACAGTTATGCTTATTTATGAGACTCTTAATTTGGAAATATTTTTCCTCACTCATCCAAGAAGCCCACATTTTAAACTTGCAAGCACCATAACAACATTTCACTAAAAGTCTCATGCTCTCATTTTTCTCGTAGCATAATTGATAACCATTTGCAACAGCATAGTTACACATCATGTATTTCAGTTGTTTAGGATTGACAAATCTCATACCTAATACAAGCTTCTGCTTTTTCCAATAAACATTCTCATTGTAAATAGCTTGGTTATTAGATATTACCTCATCCTCATGTAGCTGATTATATGGCTCTTCACGCGGTGGACTGTGAGGGGTACCTTGGTCCTTTGGGCACAACTTGCTCAAAAACTCATCATCTTTTGTCTTGTTCATAGGAATACACTTATCAGGTTCATTGTCAATTTCCATGTCAATGTCATCATCTTCCTCACCTTGCAAATCCTCCCTAGTACCTTGCAAATCCTCCGTATCACCTTGCAAATTATGACCTAGCAAATCCTCAATGTCAATTCCATCATCCATATCCATACCACCTTGCACTTCTTCATGAACTTCATTTCCAGTAGACAATTTGTCTAATGAACTGCATACTTCGGCTAGCTCGTCAAGTATCCATTGATGTACATTAACACCAAGATGGTCCATGTATACATGAATTACACAATCAGAAGCATACCCTACTTCAATGAGCTCCTGGTAGTCTTTATCATTAATTATTATCCTCAATCCATCAGGGAACTCAATATCGGGCATGCAAAAGTAAACATTCACGCATAACTCATTAGCGAATCTTTGAAGGAACACCATAAACTCGTTCTTGTCCATTCCAGCAAAATCGACATCATCAAACATTTGCTCTGCTCCATCTGAGTAACCTATAGCGGGGTACCCCGTAAAAAATTTGGCAAAATGGAGATCTATCTTCATGTAAACAGCCATAGAAATGATTATGTTGGCCGATTTGAGCGGGGATGAGTTTAAGAAACGGATTCGTGCCAAGAACGGTTTGAAAAAAGCATACGGATGAAAAGGTAGCAGAATAAAGAAGATGAAAGGGACAGTTCAGGGGGTTTAAACAGATATTAGGTTTTATCTACTTACACACACGTGGCAATGACATGACATCTTTAATCTACTTGGCAATGACGTGACATAAACAAAGATCCTGATATGATTGGTGTCACCGGTTGAACCCTTCAAATGTTAAAATGTGACATTTTAAACCATAAAATTACAAGTACAAACCTTTTAAATGCAAAAAATAGTCACGATGGACCATTTAAACTAATATACCAAAGATAGTTGACTATGATAGCAATTTCCCTTAATCAAAATCAAGATGATCAAGTTTATTTATCGTGGAAAAGGATTTCTTTACCGGACTAACCTTATATTACATTAAAATCACTTTTTTTCTAACAAAATATATATTTCGGAATTTCTGATTCCGGGAAGAAAATGATAAAAACACACTATCTCGGTATTTTATATAATTAACCCATAAGTATAACAAAATTTGACCAAATCTAAAATCAAAGAAGACCTGCTGCTTTATACAATATTTTAGTCCCATATATATGGACAAAAGGGAGCACTAAAATGTGGAAGATGTGAAGTGTGTGAGTGACGAGTGTGGGCCCTCGTCAAGCAGCGATGCAACGTTGAACGTCAATAACTATATTAACAATCAACATACCATGGCAGCTGGTGTTTTCTCCTTCTCAATCACACTACGCTTGCTCTATAGTTTCTCCGTCGAATTCTATTCTGGGTAAGATGATTACTTGTCTTTCATGTACCGATCAAATTACGTTTTCCGAAAGAAACTAAGTGATTTTGACTACATTTGTAGGTTGTTTCAGCTCAATCTTTCAAAAGTCGACTGCGATTTTTTGAAAAATGGCTGTGTAAGTCCCGAATACATCTGTTCGTGTTTGTTGTGGATATTAGTTTAAATGATTAATTTGGAACTGAGTCGTAATGGCATGTATTTGTGATCTAACTTGAACTATGCTTGCTTTGAATACGTTCTAAAGAGGATAATAGAGAAACTTGTTGTTTGAAAGTTGAGTTTTGATCTTTTTAGGGTTGCTTCTGCTCCAGGGAAGGTTCTGATGACTGGTGGTTATCTGGTATTGGAGAGACCCAATGCAGGAATCGTGCTCAGTACAAATGCTCGATTTTATGCTATTCTTAAGCCACTTTATGATGCAGTGGGATCTGATAGTTTGGCAGAGGTGAGTGATCTATGTTGAAATTTGTTTTTTTCTTTTCTTCTAGTAATGCAATAATCAAACATGTATTTGCACCTGTTATTTGTTTATATATCTATGAAGATAATGCCTCTTAGAACAATATAATGCATTTGTGTTGTTATAGACTATAGTCCTTATCTCTTTTGTTTTCAGGAATGGATGGAAGTGAAGGTAAACTCTCCTCAGATGTCAAGAGAAACTACATACAAAATGTCACTAAAAGATTTTACACTTCAATGTTCAAGGTAAGTGCTTTGATTGAATGTTTAGAACAATGTATGTTGAATACCAACAAATGATTTAGAGCACTAGATAAAGAAAATTGGGAAAGATTATTGGTTTTTTAAGGTGTGGCTTAAAAAGTCTTATCACTGATCTTCATCAACTTTTGCTTCAATCTCAGTGAATCAAGGAACCCCTTTGTTGAGTATGCAGTCCAATATTCCATAGCAGCAGCATATGCCACACTGGACAAGAATAAGAGGAATGATTTGCACAAATTACTGTCACAAGGTACAATATAGGCTTCATATTTGCATAGTTTACTGAATAAAACGAACTCAACATTCTGATGACTAACTGATTATTTATACAGGCATGGATATTACAATCTTGGGTTGCAATGACTTCTATTCATATCGGAATCAGGTATATATCATTCTGTAAAGGAAAATCAATAGCTTTTCAATGCTAATTGTATAAAGAGATTTGAAATTGGGTCAGATGCAAGAAATAGCAATGTCCTCATATTCATTTGTTATTTATATCATCCTACTTTCATTTTTTTGGTATTACAACATTGTACTTTGAAAAATCTACACAATATCCTGATAAGAAAAAAAAGTAAAAGTGCAATGCACAATGTACAAAGTTGTAATAGAAAGAAGTCAAAGTAAGATGCTATAATGCACAAAGAAATGAAAGTGCATTGCTATTTCTTGAATTTAGCACTTTGAAGTAACTGAAAAGTTGTACATACAAGTTTAGATTGAAGCACGTGGGCTCCCTTTAGTCCCGGAATCATTGGCTTCTCTTCCACCATTCACATCAATTACTTTTAATGCTGAAGAATCAAATGGAGAAAAAAACATCAAGCCTGAAGTTGCAAAAACTGGGTTAGGATCATCTGCAGCCATGACAACTGCTGTAGTAGCTGCTTTACTACATTACCTTGGAGTTGTTGATCTTGTAAGCTCCAGTAAAGATCAAAAAAATGACTTCACTTCAAATTTGGATACTGTGCATATGATAGCTCAAACTGCTCACTGCATTGCTCAAGGGAAAGTTGGCAGTGGGTTTGATGTTAGTTCTGCTGTTTATGGAAGTCATCGTTACGTCCGATTTTCACCAAAAATCATTTCTTCAGCTCAGGTATCTCTCTCTCTCTCTCTCTCTCTCTCACACACACACACACACACACACACATTAGACTTTGGGGATGTTTCTTTTTGACTTAATGGGCTTAATAGGTTAAGCACTTAATGTGCACAGTTAGACAAACATCATTACCCCTTCAACCCATAAGGGCTTAATGGGAAGGAAAAAATACATTTATAATATTTTAATGTTTTGAATTAGACACTATCTTGTTTTATGATTACAGGAAGCTGTGTCTAGCACACCATTAGATGAAGTAATTGGTGAAGTGTTGAAGGGAAAGTGGGATCATGAAAGGACTAAATTCTCCTTGCCACCATTAATGAATCTGGTGAATATGCCAACAACAACAATAACTACAATCTTTTAGTTTTATTTTTTGTACTTAAAGAGTAGTGTATTTTACAGATTTTGTGATTTTTTTTGTAAGGTATTGGGAGAACCCGGGAGTGGAGGATCATCAACACCATCTATGGTTGGTGCTGTAAAGAAATGGCAAAAATCTGACCCACAAAAGTCAACAGAAACATGGAACAAGTTGTCAGAAGCAAATTCTGAACTTGAACAACAGCTTAATTTGTTAAGCAAATTGGCTGCAGAAAACTGGGATTCATACAAAACTGTTGTTGAAAGCTGCAGCATGCTTAAATTAGAGAAGGTGATTCCTTTTGTCTCTTTTATTTAAACTAGGGTTAAAAAATCTACCTAATTATAGCAATGCCTTCCAAATATAAAGAAAATAATTGTTGGTTGAGCAGTGGGAGGGGCAATTTAATAAAACAAGTGATGTAGAAATAGTTAAAGCACTATTGGGAGCAAGAGATGCCATGCAAAAGATCCGCTCCCTCATGCGACAGATGGGTGAGGCTGCAGGCATCCCGGTTAGTTTTTTTTTTTTTTTTTTTCTCTCTCTGTTATAAATTCATTACTTTTTCATCATCTAACTTCAAAGTCAAACATAAGTTATCCAAATTCAGTCTTGAGTTCAAAAGATTGTTTCAGTTGTCGAAATATGAGTAAATGAACATTTTACCCTTGTGTTCAGAAGTGATGCTGAATAACAAAGAGCTATAAATTGCTGTTTATTTGACATAAATAATGATACAGATGCAATTATTAATTATATTTAATCACAATATATGCATTTGAATTTTACAGATCGAACCTGAATCTCAGACTAGACTCCTGGATGTGACCATGGACACAGAAGGTGTGTTGTTGGGTGGAGTTCCAGGGGCAGGTGGATTTGATGCTGTTTTTGCTATCACTTTAAGTGACTCAAGTACTAATTTAACCAAAATATGGAGTTCACACAACGTATTGGCATTGTTAGTTAGGGAAGATCCTCGTGGGGTTTCTTTAGAAAGTGATGATCCTCGGGCTAAATAATCATCTCAAGTTATAATTAAGGCCTTTTTTTTACAAGTAATTGTTGATGGTTTTTCATGTTCATTGTATCAATAACTCTTTGCACTTGTCACCTCTAATAAGCATGAGGTTTCTAAAATGTTTCTTGTTTCTTATGCATAATTTGTTAGTTCCAAGAAAGTACAATCTCATTGTTGAAAAATCTGAGGGGCCCGTTTTGTTTTGCAAGACAAGACAGATAGCCTTGTATTGCGTTTGACATGGTTGGACCTAGTTGAGACCAATGTCAATGGAACAAAAATTGTATATTTATTTTGTTCGTTCAAAAAGGTGGAACAAGGTGAGACAGAGACTCCATTAAGTCGTCTAGTTCACAAGAGGTTAACGCAACATTAAGGAACATTTAAAAGTTCTTATTCCATAAATCGCCTAACGAAAGACAAAAAAATACGATACCTTTAAAGGTAACTACGAGCAACAACCAAATATTTAACCAAGTTTTAAGGCATAACTATATGGTAAACTGCACCATTTGAGCAGCCGGTGTTAAGCTGTCTCACGGGGTGTCATGGAAAAGTTCAATCACAAAACAAAAGCAATATTTTGGGCATGTCATGGTTCAAACCTTGGACTTTATGTGTGGAATTTCACATTTCAACCATTAGGATCTTATTGTGGGCAGTCATAATCATATGCAACACGAACACATTATGTTTGTGATTTTTGTATCATTAAGAAGAGATATATATAGTAAAGTCCCAATATTTTCATCAACTTGACAAGAAAGTCCTAAACTTTATTTTTTTGACAGTAAAGTCCAAATTACCGGCAGTTTTTGACACTTTTACCCTTTTTTTCCGGTTAGCCAGTATTTAGGACTTTTTGTCAAAAAAATAAAGTTTAGGACTTTCTTGTCAAATCGTCAATTATTACTTTACTATCAAAAAAATAAAGTTTATGACATTCTTGTCAAATCGTTGAAAATATTAGGACTTTAGTGTATTTTCGTAATCCAAGAACTTTTAATTGTGACTTTTGTTGCAGCACCACTGTTTTCTTACCATCATCGTCTTTACCCTCATATTTACCCTGACACAATCGCGATCAAGAGAAACATATGCAAAAGAGAGAGCGAGAAATGGTGAAAAGACTTGTAAAACTTTCTTCTTGCTTCGCCGCCAAATCTTGAACTAAAAAGTGGGGACAGATTATACAAAAACAACACATGCCTAGTCAAAAAAGTGTGAATGTGGAGAAGGGAAAGAAGGGCAATTTCGTTTTTTTTCGGTTCTTATTTCTCCATTTTGGGACTGCAACAACCCTGGTTTTTTCTTTCTTTCTTTCTTGATTATCTTCATTTTTTTCAATGTCGGTTTGTTGAAATTAAAAAAACGATTTAACAAGAAGCAAACATTAAGGATTTCAATAGGATGTAGCTGACTAGAGAAGGTTTCAATAACTTTTATGTTTAAAGAGTATCATACCATTAAATTTCTAACCAAAAAAAGGGATATATATGAATCGTCCCATGGATCCATACCTTTATCCAAAAGCTAGAAGGGCCCGTATGTTAAATTATTTCACATATCACGGGTTTTCAAAAGTTGAGTTGTTTGGATGTTCAGAAATCTTCAAGAAGTCCCCACCACTTGTTAAAAGTATCTTTATAATTATCAAGATTGTCGGCCACATGTAACAAATTAAATAATGGCCCTTGTTTAAACGTCATCGCTTACGTTTTATTCTTGTCCAATAGTTTGTAAGCCCATCTATATAAGGGCATAAGTTCTAAGTTTGGGATCATCGAATTCATTCACCTACAATCACCACCACCACCATTGTAACAAAGCTTCCGCGGTATTTTAATAAAAATGTGTGTACTTTAAAGTTTTAGTTTTTGAGCTTTAGTACAAGATAAAAAATTCCTGGCAACGTAATTTTTATCTTGGTATCAGAGCTTTGAATCAAAACGTTCTTAGCTCTATGGAAGGCTAAACTCCTAAGCTATATTCAGGAAAAACAGTAAAGGTATTATTTTATCAATTTCTTGTATTTCTACGGTAACATTTCTGTTAAAAACTTCATAAAAACCCTTGTTTTTAGATAAAAGACAGCGCAATTGCTTCTATTAAAAAGTAGCGAAAGAGTCGGTAAGTGTTTGAAGTTAACCGTTTGGTGAGTCCTAAAACAAGTTTGTAACTATAAACCTTTGAAGTTTTTATGTTATGTCCGATCGCTTTAATCAAGAGATACAAAATTGGTACGATAATTCACGAACTGTGGATCTTGAGTATATCATTTTTAAAGAAAATAGTTCTAAAACTACAACTACCGATTTAGCCAATAATTTAGCTTGTATTTATAATCGTTTAAATCTCTTTTCTAAAGTAGCACTTAAGAATTTTAAAAGTATTTCTGAAAAACAAAAAGATCTTGAGTCAAAAGTCCAAAGTTATCAAGAGAAGCTTGAATCCTGTGAGGAGTTATTAAGAAAAACTCAGAGTGAAACCAGAAAAAGCTTTCAACAAATCTCAACTGAGATCCATCAATCTAAACCACTCACAAAAAGAGAAGTCCTCAGCCTTGTTCAAGAAATAGCTGAGCAACCAAAATTAGTTGAGAAAGAAGCCCTCAGACTAACAGAAGAACTCAATCATAAAACCCAGAAAGTTGAAAATCTTCTTCACGAAGTCAAGAGGCTCATCACCGGATGAGTATTGCCAATCAAAAGGCAACTACTGAGTATCAGGAAGCCATACAAGCCACTGAAGACTTTGAATCACCAGCAGTTGTTTTTGCAAAAACAACCGACTACAAAGAAGCTCTAGTTAACCAAGTAAAGGCTGTTATAAAACAAAACAACACCTTGCTTTACTTAGCAACTAAGCAAAGTCAGAAACTTATTGAGATTGAAGAAAAGTTTGACAAGCTCAAACAAGAAGTTCAAACTGTTATCAAACAAAATACTCAGCCAGCAGATCTTGAAGACTCAATATCAAGCTTAACCAGAAGACTTGATAATTTCTCTATTAGTGGGAAACTTCCAGTAAAGAAAAGTAACGGGCAAATCTACGTCTTTAAAGATCCTAACAAAATCTTTAAAGAACAGTTTGGGAAAGAATCAAAGAAATGACTTTCAGAAGGCCTAGCATCCTCAACAGGAGTTCCACACAAACTCAAACAGAACTCCCAACTCAAGAAGATCAAATTCGTGGTTATCGACAAATGACCCGAAACAGATATCAACCAGCTAGGGCAACAAGAAGAGTATTTGGAAGAAACAGCTATAATCGCACCTTGGAGTCTGTTGTAGATCCAGAAAGACAACTTGAAATATCAAGAGAGAGAAGGGCAAATCTTGTTCCAGCAGAAGTACTTTATTCAAACAATAGAAGTACTACAAGACACAGAGTCTATGAACACTACTCTGAGCAAAGAATCCTATGTGTTGGAGAAAATCAAGTTAACCTTCGGTTGTGTAACCAAGAAAGCTACCAGAACTTGAGAACTTCAGGGCTCCAGCATATTCACCTAGGAATATTCATGATCAGGCTACATGCACTCCACCGGAGAAGTGCGGGAACAAATGCTCTAGTTGTCCTTCGGGACACTAGATGGGAAGATAGTCGACAAATCATTGGAACTATGGAAGTCGACCTCTCAAAGAAATCTTCTTCACTAATTTCAAGATAAATGAATCTGTTATTTTTGTTGGTGGTCCTGGATGGAACATGAAAGCATAATGACTATGTTGGATATCCTCTCTTTCATCTTCGCTGCTACTTTCATTATCTTCATGTGTTAATGTGAAAGCTGCTTCTTCAAATGGAGTATCTTGGACCATAACATTGATGCTTTGATGGGTATCGCCTTCTCCTTCTGATATACTATAGACACTGGTGTCATCAAAGTCTGCTGAGACAATGTCCCAGTTGTCATCAAGATCCAGTTCTTGATAGACAGCTGATCTTGCAATGTTTCCTTGCTTGCTTTTGCAATCTTTTGCGAAATACCCTTCCTTTCCACAAATAAAGCATTTGCATTTCTTGACTCGTCCTCTGTCATCTTTGTACTTTCTTTTGAATGGCTTTACATGAGAACCATGTGGCTTTCCTTTGTAAGTCTTCGACTTCCTCATTCCATACTTTTTCCTGTTGTTTTTGTAATAACTAGGAATTGGTATGGCTGAACAAAGAGATAAATCTCTAAGCTCTTTGGCAAGCGCAGCATCTTTGCACATTTCTGAGATGAAAGTATGAGTGAATTTGATTGCAGGCAGAACTCCTGAACTTAGACCAGGGTACCTGGCTTTAAATGATTCTTCAACTTTCTTGGATAGAGAAGGTGGAAGTTTAGCAAAAAGTTTTTCTGTTGTTGAGGGGAAGTACAACCTTCCAAACTTTATTGCTAACTGCCTGAAATCCTCCAAGAATGTCCACAAGTTCTTGGTTTCTTCACAAGTTATTCTGTCTAGATCTCTGTAGGCTCTGTCTTGTTCATCAGTTGAGCCTCGATATGGATCTTCTAACAATATTAACTTCCTAACTTGTGATGTTATTTTTTTGGTTCATCTGCGATTGCTTCAAGGGCAGCATATACATATGGGTATGCCGTTCGCCATTGTTGCCACATTAACTTTTCGCTTTCTCCAAGAAGATTTTCAACAAAGGCTAATTTTGCTTTGTTGTCAGTCCATGTTTGGCTATTGAGCCTATTAATTGTTATAGACTCCCATCGTGCTATTACATTTGACCATAAGCCTGGATCTGCTGGTACAACAAGCATTACACCTGATTCCGTCCATGTTGGTGGCAGAGTCCACTGTGAATTATGATATTCACCATATCCTCCATTAAAAATATTGCCTTTTCCTTGAGGGTAACCAAACTGGTAGTCTGGTCTATAAATTGGCTGTGGATTTTGCCGTCCTGGAGGGTAGACAGCTGGTCCTAATATTGCATCATCTGGAGGTTGATAGCTTGCACCAGATTCTGCGTCATTTGCTGTTGGAAAAGCATGTTCTTCGTGTTTTTTGACCATTTGTGCTGCCATTTGTTTAAAGTTGCGAAATTTTGGGTATGGCAGATTGTCATCATCTTCTTTGGAAAGATGAAGAATTGTATGGTCCTCACCATGCTTCGCTGCGAATG